GTTACCCCCAAAAGGACCATAATTTTCACAACCACCCATTTGGCTGTGGTTCCGCTTCGCCAGGGGCCTTTGCGGCTTCGGTGCCTGTCGCTCAGGCAGTTTTGCTGCGTTGCTGTAGACCTTGCCGTCTGGCGCAGCCCAGTTACAGGAATACTGTTGGCTGTCATACTAGCCGAAACGATGTCTGGCAACAGGGATTCTACCTGAACTTGTAATTCCTTCGCGCATAGCCAGTGTCGGCGGGTTGATGTAATGGCTTTTCCAAGTTTTGCGGGGTGCATCCAGCAAGCATTGGACACTGCGGGCATATAGAGGATGCCTTACGGCATAGCCCCTAATTACTAGACGCAATGAGCAAGTAGGTGATCGGTGATAGTGCTTACTGTATCAAGCAGGGCTAAGTGCCGTTGCAGTACACTTCGGAACTGCATACCACAGCCACCTGTGCCTAATCCCAAACCCTAAAGCCACCGCCGCAGGCAGCTGTTACAGATCTGGTTCCTGGGGCAGAGGCCTTGCATTCAGACGGATGCTGCATGCTCTTGTTGTTACCATGATGTAAGGGCTTTGGAGTTTAGGCTAGTGTTATCCGCTGCTTGGAAAGTTGTGACTGCTCGCTCATACCGTCTACACTCTGTCTCCCTGCTCACACTGTCCGCTCTCTCCCGCCCTCTCCCGCGCTGTCTTTCTTTCTCTCTCTCTCTCTCTCGCTCTCTCTCGCTCTCTCTCTCTCTCTCTCTCTCTCTTTCTCTCTATCTATCTATCTATCTCTCTCTCTCTCTCTCTCTCTCTTCCTTCGGCTCTCACGAAAACAAGCATTGATAGATCCCCGCTGCCAAGCAGGCTTGCGAAATCATTCCGAAACTCTCAAGTCCCTAGTCGTGTCATCAGCCGCCCAAGCTCAAAACCCGGTTATATGCCCCTTAAAGGGTTGGTGGCACCGTGGTCTCCGGCACTATGGTGGGTTTGAAAAACTAGTAGCCCCCGAAACCCTAAGCCCTAAACCCTAAACCTCCTAAACCTAAACCCCCTAAGCCCTCTAAACCCTAAGCTATAGTACATTATTCTGAATTCTGGTGCTGCTGGGAAGGCCGCTACGGCACTTAGCCGAGTGGCCGCAGCGGCCTGGCAGCAAGCGAGAGGAGCATTGGAGCCCACATCCCCCCAAACTCTAAACCCAAACCTTGGGTACTGCCCCCACTCAGTAACAGTTGGATAATCTTTATATTGTGGATAGATTAGGCCCTTATATAATAGTCGCCCTGTTATTTTTGTGACTGCATGGGGGCAGTACCCTACCCAAACCCCCAAAACCGGGAACCCCCAAAACCCTAAACCCCCCCAAATCCCCAAATCCCCAAACCCACGAATTCCCCAAACTCTAAACCCGAAACCCCCAAAACCCTAAACCCCCAAAGCCCCAAACCCACAAATTCCCAAAACTCTAAACCGAAAACCCCCAAAATCCTAAACCCCCAAATCCCCCCAAAACTTTCAACCCAAAACCCCCAAAATCCCCTTATCCCGCCGAAGAAGCCTCTGAGGCCTCTCAACTCGGCGTCGTCGTGGGCCCGGTGGCGTCTGCGGCGGCCACCGGCTTTCTGGCCAAGGCATTCCTGGCTCCTAGGGGGGAAATGAGGGTTTGGGGTTTAGGGTTTAGGGGTTTAGGGTTTAGGGGTTTAGAGTTTAGGGTTTTAGGGTTTTAGGGGTTTAATTAGGGGTTTAGGGTTGAGGGTTTAGGGTTGAGGCTTGGGGTCTTGGGTTTACGGTTTGGGTTAAGGTTCTAGGTGTCCGACGCGGCCTGTTAGAATCAGGTCATGACAACTTCACAACTGTGGTTGCTTTTGTTCTGATTTGGGTTCGCATTTCGGGGTCGCAAGATCAATGATATAACGGCGAGCCCGAAGCATTCTAAGTTGTCCCTATACATATAGCTTTCCCTTCAGAAAACTAACGAAGCAACTCCAGCAAATCAGAGTACATGCGAGTGCCTGCCCTAACTCTAAAGCCGAATTAAACCCCAGAAGATCACCTCCCCTCTCCAGTCTGTGCCTTACTAGGACCCTCATCAGATCTCCTACCACAGCCTGCCACACACTAGGCCGAGAGTCAGCCTTATCACCGCGAACACCTAAAGCGGCTTGCGCTGAGTACTTCCTGAGGCATTCGGCCTCCCCGCACGGCTGGGCGTGCGCGTGGCTTTCGCTGCTGCACCACGGTGTGGGGTTTACTCGTTGTGCTGGACTCCCACATCATGCACCCTCAAACCACTGAACTTTTAAAACTAAACCCTAAACCCTGAACCCTAAACTCTGAACACGAAACCCAAATGTGGGTTGTGGCCGATTGAGAAATGTTGAGAAGAAAGAGCCGGGATACAAGCTGCCCTGAAACCGTGGCCCTGTAAGACACGTTGAGGCTTCAAGCACCAAAGCCGAAGTCTTAGCTATGTGTCTCTTTGTCTATCATGTACCTATCTATGTATCGATGTCTAGACGTGACTATCATCTACCTGTCTAGCTATCTATGCACCTCTCCATCCATCCTTTTAAACCTTCGATTGATCTGTCGATCTATGTACCGATCTGTCCACCGATGTATCTAGCGATCTGTCTACCGATCCGTAAACCTTAAACCCATCCCTAAACCCTAGAACCCTAAACCTACAAACCCTATACTTGCCGAGGATGTCTCGGGCTCAGTGCCCTTCACCGAGCAGATTCCTGAAGTTCGGAACCCCTCCAGCCGCAACTCCCTTTCGAAATCCTTGGTAGGGTTTCGGGTTTAGGGTTTAGTAAGAGTAAGCCGCTCTCCCAAAAAAGCACAAAGACTAAACCCTGAGCCCCCAAATCGCGAGCTGAAAACTTCTAAAGCAGACGGAGTCCTAAAGCCCACAAGCCCACAAACCCCAAACCCTAAAACCCTAAACCGAAACCATAAACCCGAAGCCCTAAAACAAGCCCCACAAGCTCTAAATTCCATCCCTAGGCAAGCCTTGCCTCCCTCACGGTACTTGCTGTATCGGCTTTGGTTGGAGGACAAACAAGGGATGACCAAGCGAGGCTGTGGATTCAGTAGGGTAATGTAGGGGCCTAAATAATTAACTTTCTATTTTTGGGGGGTTCCGTATTATAATCATAGTGTAATGGGCCCCAAAACCTTGTTCTAGTCATTAAGGCCCCTACATTAGGGATTTAGGATGTTTAAAGGTTTAGGGCTCCCAAAAAGATCGGATTTAGGATTAGGGGGTCTGGGGTTTTGGGGCTAAGGATTTGCGGGCTGAAGTACTGGGTTGGAGGCGAGGTCAAGACGAGCTGATGATCGTGATTAGGGTTCATGTCTGAGCATCGTCAGCGATTTTGATGGCCATGAGAGCGCACTGATGGTGGTGTGGTGATGGTAGTGATAGAAATAATGGTCATAATGATGCATGATCGTTGTGATGGTTCAGACCTCTGGCCCAACATCTTTGATTCGCACGCATTCAACGAAAGTACAAACACATGTGCGGCAATATTAGGGGGTTGATTTCAGTACTCTTCGCAACAAAGTCGAAGGCTCGGATGCTTTGAGATCGGAATAAGAAGTGTTTGAGGGTATACCCTTACAGTCCCTTCAGAACTCTAGCCATAACATGCCCCAAAACCCTATAAAACCCTAGACCCCAAACCCTCAACCCTAAACCCTAAAGCCCTAAAGCCCCCAGGAGACGGAGATGGTGAGCCTACCGTGGCCAAGAGCGCAGCAAAAGCCGCGGAAGGCGCGCGCAGATGCCAAGCGCAAGGGCTCAGGGCTTTAGTAGGGTTTAGGGTTCGGGGTTTAGGGTTTAGGAAGAATTCCAGTAGGGTTTGGGCGGGTTCGGGGTTTAGGACCTTAGGAAGAATTCCGGGCAATGGTGTAGAGTAGAGTTGATGGCAGTGGGTTTACCGTCCCAGTCCCCATCGCTACGCTTCTGTAGTGCACGAGGAGGCGAGGCAACGAAGGAGCTACTGCAAGAGCTAGCTGCGACATGGGAGTTTCCGAAAGTAAGGGGTACCTTATTTTGGGGTCCTTATAATAAGAACCCTAAGAACCCTACTATCTAGGGTACTATATTAGGGTCCCCTATTTCCGGAAACCCCCAAACAGCAGGCGAGCACCGAGTGAAATATTGTTTGTCGGCTTGCTTCAGGCTTGCCTTTGTCTCGTCGAAATGGAGTTGCATAATATAGGGGCCCAAGCAATTAGAATAGAGCCCCTATACCTTAAACCCTAAACCCTAAACCCCTACATGATGCAACTCCAGTTCGACGAGACGAAGGCCAGCCTGAAGCAAGCTCGACAAACAATCTTTCACTCGATTAGACTAGGGTTTTGGGGTATATTACTAACGGTATATTCTGCTCTAGATGTGGTAGGAACATATAGGAACTTTAATGAAGAGTATTGGCAATTATTCAGGCTTCTTTATTATCAGAAGCTTTTTTGGAGGGCACTCGACAATTTAGTTCTGGTTTATAGTTTCAGGGGACCAGATGCAATTCAAGGCACACCGACAGCTGCAGCCACCAGCCGCTCACGACGTACAGAGTCTTCCAAAGCCGCCCAAAACCCTACACCCCTAAACCTCTAAACCCAAAGCCCTTTGAAACCCTAAGCTCTAAACCCCCTAAACCCTAAACCCTAAACCCTTAAACCCTAAACCCTAAACCCTAAACCCCTAAACCCAAAACCCGAAACCTAAAGACCCATCTGAACCTTAACCACAGACCTTATAAGCCTCAACCTTAAACCGCTCTTGGACCAACAAGTCTTCAACCCTACACCCTAAAACCCTAAACCCTAAACCCTGAAACCCTAAACCCAAAGCCCCAAAACCTTGAAGCAAGCATCGTATCTCATCATGCCCTTACCCCCCTCCCCCCCCAAGTACCTACTATATAGGGCCCTATAGGGGGGGCTCTAGTACCTTACATAGTAGGTACCTGGGGGGTTTGGGATTCTTGTGGCGTTTTGGAGCGATGGAGCCGAACGTTAGCCGGGAGCTGCCGAAGCGAAGCCGCTTTCTCCGACTTGGGGGGCGTAAAGTTTGATTTTGGGTTTAGGGTTTAGGGTTTGGGGTTTCTGGTTTGGGGTTTAGGGTTTAGGGCTTAGGGGGGGCTTAGATTTACCCTAAACCCCAAACCCTAAACCCTAAACCCTAAACCCCGCCTTAAACCCTAAACACCAAGCCCTAAACCCTAAACCTTAGATAGAGTGTAGAGCCGTTTCGAGTAGGGTTGGCTCTCGCCACTCAGGGTGTTTCAGAGCGTACTATTCATCATTTGGAGGCTTGAAGGTTGATAGGGTTTGGAGGTTTGAGAGTTGAGGGCGTTTGGCTCCTTCGGAAACTCTGCCAGATTGGAGTCTTTTCGCATTGAAAAGCTGTTTGGGTTCCCTGCAGTTTCATGGCAAGGTTTTCTACAAACCCTAAACCCTAAACCAAGACGGTCCATATATACTACCATTATGGAATTAGGTCCCCAAAACCATATTAGGGATGGTCTTTTGGGACCTAATTCCATAATGGTAGTGTATATGGACCCTCTGGGAAACCCTATCCGGAGAACCTGCCCGAATGGTGCGTTAACGCTCCTTGCTTCTACGGAGAAGTTCGACCCAACCAAGTGGTTTGAGATGCTCGCCCCAGATTCACAGTTTGAGAGTTCCAGCATATTATAGTATACTATATATAATGTCATTTTATACAATATTTCAATAGGTATATATATTATATATATATATATATATATTAATCCTTTAACGCATACTACGGTATATTATAGCATATTGTAGTAAAGTATAGTCATATATATATATATATATATACATTACAAGAGCATCGGGGTTGGAAATCTGCCTGCACATCCGAGATCTGATGCGGGGCACGTCTGCAGCACAGGCGGGATCGAATCGGGCGGCTCTGGATAACAAGCTCCTCAAACTTAAACCCATAAACCCCTGAAGCCCTAAATCCTCAGCCCGAAGCCCTAAACCTTATAAGCCCCTAAACCCGTTCTCATTAAAAGTATCCAAAGACGCTAAATCTTCTCCGCGGCAACGGCATGTTTTCAGAAAGGCGTTTTTAGGCAGGGCACTAAACTTCAAAGCTCTTCATAATCATAGCCATATTGCTTGAAAATTTCACGAAATTCTTAAAGCCTTCCCGAAAAATCTAGATTCTGCATTAAACCTTCCGGAAACTCCCAAAGCCTGCTCAAACCTATACTAGAACAAACCAGCAGTTTCCGAAGGCTTTGCCATGGTAAAGGCATGAGTATTATATATATATATATATATGCACGGGATTATACTGTTGCAGCCCCCTGATACTAAGAGCGTGGCAAGGCTCATAAAATTGAAGCTCCTCTGCAACTCCATGCCATTTGAGTTGTTGCTGCTCTTTCTTCGCCCCGAAAAGAAAGGCTGCATTTCCTTCCCCAGGGTACGGGTCACGTAGGAAAAACACGCAAACCAGATGTGCAGTTTTTGGAAGTTTTTGGGATTTTTGTAGTTTTGGGAAGTTTTTTCAGCGAAGCACCCGGAAGTTTTTGCAAGTTTGTTGTAGTTTGTTTTTGTTGTTGATGTTGTTGTTGTTGTTGTTGTTGTTGTTGTTGTTGTCCGAATTCTCGTGGTGACATGTGGCTGCGGCTTCATGAATCCAGCCCCCAGTCGGGGCTCAAAACCTTCCGGCAGTTTGCAGGCTGCGGGTCGCAGGCCCTAATTAGGGTTTAAGGATTTAGGGTTTAGGGTTTAGGGCTGCAAATTACCCTAAGCCGAAAGCTCTTAGGGTAATTTGCAGACTGAAGGTTTACAAGCGTTTGACGCCCACCCGAAACCCAAACATATTCGCCCCAGGCCGGCTTTGTTTTTTGTTTAGGATTTTTGTGCTTACTTTATGTTAGTTTGCAGGCTCAGGGTTTACAGGCTTTGGACCCCCCACAATAAAGCCAAAACCCTCGGCCCCTTCGCCAGATTCTGACCAAATTAGGCAATCAAGCTTGAAGCGGAATGCCAAATACAACCCTAAACCCTAAACCCTAAACCCTAAACCCAAATCGTGCGCAATATGTCCCAGTCATGCAAAATCATTCAAAGTATTTTCAGCTCTCGTCTCCCAGCTTCAAAGCACACCTTCCTGAAGACATACTTGGAGGCCCGGGGGACTGTAGGGGGTGGCAGTAAGGGTTTAGGGTTTAGGGTTTAGGGTTTAGTTGGAGGCCCGAGGGACTTAGTAAGTTGGTTTATAAGTAGGGTTATAGTTGGGGTAACTCCATTTAGGGTACTTATAGCTCCATTTATAACCTACTTACTAAGTCCCCTGGGCCTCTAAGTACCTCAGTTGCGGTTAATGACTGAAGGCCCTGGCCTGGGGGGGCCATGCCTTTGCAGAAGACTTCCGGGAAGAGACCCCCGGCTCATGGGAGGCTGAGCTGCAGGGTTTCTGGGGTGTTTTGGGGTTGGGGAAGGGCTGAGGGGTGC